ATCACGACCTCCGGGGCTTCCTTTCCTCTACTTAAGCTCACATCGACTGCTTCAGTGATTCCATCCAGCCACCTCATTCTCTGTCTTTCCCTGATTCTTTTGCCCTCAATCTTTCCCAGCATTAGGCTCTTCTCCAGTGAGTCCTTCCTTCTCATTAGGTGGCCAAAGTATTTGAGTTTCATCTTCAGGATTTGGCTTTCTAAAGAGCAGTCAGTCACCTTTATTAACGTCATCTTTATTAAATACTTAAAATCTGATCATAGACATCATCCATCATACGTCGCTTGGCTGAAGTTGAATTTGCCTACATTTAAACAAAAACCAATGGTTTAAAAAAAAGAATTAGGGTTGTTATAGCAGAAAATAGTTTGGTGCATATTAAGAATATTTTCACCTCTGTGGTGTCAATAGTTCTCCATTTTTCTGAGCTTAGAAAAATGATTTCTGGAGCAACAATAATTGTTTCGAAGTATTCCTCAGAGTGTTCCTATTTTAGCACTATGTTAGAAGGACTTTTGGCTTCATCCCTTTATCTTTCCTCACTATATCAGTCTGGCTTCTCCTGTATTTTTTGTTTCTCACAGCAAGAGCACCTTGGAGAAATCTGCTTCTCACTGCGATATGTCCCCACTACCAGCAAATTAACGGTAGTTATCTTGGAAGCCAAAAAGCTCAAGGTTATGGATGCAGATGGATTATCAGGTATGAAGGACAGATCCCTAAGGAACGTCATGCTTATTTAGAGCCTGTTAATGCATGTTGCTGAAATTCATCCCGAAGTCCCACTTTATTTTGAACCCTTTTTGTCTAAACTTGCACAGGTGTCAAATTCACCATGTCACATTGCCATCATGTGATGTTTCATGACATTTTTCCCATTTGTGGAGCTGGGGTGGGCGTGGCTTGTGTGTGGCACATTCGGCCCGTGGGCCGCCAGTTTTACACATGTGAAGGCCCCTATTAGCTCTCTTGATTTGAATTACTGCTGATCTTGGCAGCAGAGACGATACAACATGGCATGGATCTCCATTGTAAGAACTATAATCCTCTCTTGCATTATGAAAGAGAGTTTGTGCCAGCTGCTGTTATGGGTATCACAGTGCTCTGGAAAAGAGATAGGAGAACTGTATTAGTCTATGGTAACCAAAAATCAAAAGGAATCTGACTTTCTGACAAACACATTTTATTAAAAGATAAAAGCTTTTATGAGATGTAGTTCATTTCATCAAAGGCATAAGTGGATCTACGTAGCTGAGGAAATGAGCTATAAGTTAGAACAGCTGATGTCTTTTCATAAAATGTGTTAGTCAGAAAAGAAAAGCTATTGGATTCCTCCTGATCATTGGAACAAAAGGAGATTACTGTTATTTTTGTAAGAGCCATGGTGGTGCAGTGGTTAGAATGCAGTATTGCAGGCTAAATCTGCCAACTGCCAGGAGTTCATTTCTCACCTGCTCAAGGTTGACTCAGCCTTCCATCCTTCCCAGGTCAGCAACATAAGGATCCAGATTGTTGGGGGCAATATGCTGACTCTGTAAACTGCTTAGAGAGGGCTGTAAAGCACTGTGAAGGGGTATATAAGTCTAATTGCTATTGCTATTATTATTTTTGTTTCGGAAAGAGGAACCATACAATATTTGAGTAATATGATTTGTGTAATATGGTTGTGAAAGCTGGTGGGGATGAATTACATTTTTCTCCCAAAAACTCACAACAGCATTAGTCTCACAGTGACCTTTACAGAAAGATCAGTTGTTGTTTTTTCCTCAAAATACCTAGTCACCCTACAGGGCTTCTGGCAGAACCACTGAGTTTTATAGTAAGGCAGCTAATATTTGGGTTAGGAGTTTTTCATGGAGGCTGCAATATGGTTTTCAGGAACACTTTAATGTCTGGGGAAACTTCTTTTTGGATTAAATTGCCTCAACTGTTCTTTGCTTTACTTTGCATGCCAGACCCATATGTCAAAGTGCAACTTATTCTGAACAAAAAGAAATGGAAGAAAAAGAAGACAACTGTGAAGAAAAACACCTTGAGCCCCTATTTCAATGAGGCCTTTGTTTTTGAAGTGCCTTTCAACTTGATCCAGGTAGGCCCAGTAGAAGCCATTTCATAGCAGAACGAGGTTACTGGAAAACAAAATAATCTCTAGAAGCATCATTACTTTTGCAGATGTTTTGAGCTCACCTTACGAAGGCCTGCTGTAAAAAATGTATCTTCTTATACATATAATCCTTGTTTAATGGTTGCCCTGTATTGTTTGAAGTTACAAAGGAAAAGTAACTTTAGGACTTTATGGTCCTTGCATTTATAACCATTGCAGTTTCCCGCAGTCATGTGATCACCATTTGCCCAATTCACAGCTGGCTTCCATCAAGCAGAGTCGATGGAGAACCAGCAGTAAAATTACAAGTCATGACCACGTGATGTCTTGCTTAGCTATTATGGGTGCTTTGCTTAGCAGCCATGATGGAAGTGAGATCATATCTCAGTTGCAGTCATATGATGTCTTGCTTAATGATCACATGACTTAGCAATAGTGATCCCAGTTATGATTATTAAATGAGGAATACTTGTACTGAAGTCAGTTTTGCTTCTTATTGTGACTTATTTCCTGTTACTCTGCTTCTCTTTTGCTACAAGAAGCTATTAGAATATAGAATAACAGAGTTGGAAGGGACCGTGAGGTCTTCTGGTCCAACCCCCTGCTTAGGCAGGAAACCCTACACCACTTCAGACAAATAGTTATCCAACATCTTCTTAAAAACTTCCAGTGTTGGCGCATTCACAACTTCTGTATTATTCTGGGCCTAAACTAAACAAACATAACAACTAAGAATTTTTTTAAAAAAATCAACACCATATTTAATGCCTACCAAAATGGTGTCAAACAGGGTTAGAGGAGTTTCCTCTTTTGACATCTTGCAATAACATTGTAAGCGTTATTTTGCCAGAGGGCATCGCAAAGCATCATGGAAAGTTTAAAGTCCTTACCCATGAATCTTTATTATGCAGCTCTTTTAAGCAGAATTGGGCTGACATTTGAAAAATAATAATATAAGTGAGTACAAAAGATGGACAGAAAGTAACTAAAGCTGTAATGGTAAAAAGGCATGAACTCTCCCAAATGCTCCCCATCAGTGGTGGGATTCAAATAATTTAACAACCGGTTCTCTGTCCTAATGACCAGGTGGGTAGGTAGGGCTTAGTGGTCATGTGACTGTGTTGGCGTCGTCAACTCAACATAACTCAGGTCGATGGGCACTTTGCCTTAGCTGTTACAATGTAATAAGGGTTAACCAGAGAGGCAGTTTCNTACACTAATGAAACAGCATAATGAAATATTAGAAAGTGTGGCAGGCCAAAGATCCTAAAAGGAACATAACTACAGGCCTGACAGACAAGGGATTCGAATGCAATGAAGAGTAGGATGGAGCATCAAGGAAAACCTTGATCAGTCAATGGATCCGGAATATCTGCAAGCACACCTTGGGTAAAATCCTCCCGGTTCAGCCTGGTTTGGCTGAACCGGTAGGGACAATTGTCCTTGGTTCTGCAAACCAGTAGTTTAAAAAAAAGCTTCCAAGGATTGCATGATTCAGCTTTTTCCCGCTTTTAAAAGCATTTTTCCCTGCCGGTTCAGGCAAATGGTCAGAAAAAGTGCTTTAAAAAGCTTTTCTAAAAGCTTCCAACGATGGCGTGGCTCAATGGTCCGAAGCTATTTTTTTAGATTTTTAAACCATTTTTTTCCCTGCCAGTTTGTCTAAACCGGTAGGGAAAAAATGCTTTAAAAAGTGGAAAAAAAGTTGGCCACGCCCACCCAGTCATATGATTCCCCCCACAAGCCACGCCCACAGAACCGGGGGGGGGGATTAGATTTCACCGCTGCCTTGGATACCACACATTTATATCTTGAGCAGCTGCTGCTCCCCTTCATACTTCAACCATCTTGATTAGACATAGAAATGTAGTTAAATTTTAACCTGTGATGAAAGAGCATTCTTACTGCTGGAGAAAAGGATTATCCCACCCATCCATGAGTCAGCTCAAAACAATGCTGGCATAAAATTGGCTGCCCCTGTGGCTGGATCTGAGTGTTCTGTTCTGAGTCATTGACAAAAGGTGGTGTCTTGATTTCTGAACATGCCCTTTCATATAACTATGAATAATTTTCTGCACACACTTTGCTGTTACAGTATGTCAGCTGCTACAGGGGGAAAAAATGACTCAGGATGGGCTTGATTTAGGGACTCTAGAACACAAAGCTTGTCTGGTTTTTGAAGTCCCATTTTGGCATCTCTTATTCATATTCATCTTCATTTGCAATAAAAACGCATTAAGAATGAATAAAACAAATGTTAAAAATTAAAGTACATGCAACCAAGAGATCTAATCTAATTAATTGATAAGTTATAATAGCGCAGCAGACCAAAGACATGTTCTAATATCATTCAACAAAGAAACGAAAAGGGACACAGCCAAATCATATAATTATTGTACCTTTGCATCATTAATACACTACGTCCATCCTTTCTGATACATTCTTTAAGTGTCCAAAGAATTCAGAATCAACAGAACCAAAGTAATATTTTAAACATTTTTTAAAGATTGGCATCTACTGATGTTCCATTATTGGTTATGTCAATTGTTCATTCCATAAGTCATAAGGTCAGTTAACCTCAACTTCAAAAATATTTTTAAATTTCTGCTTTAGATGCAAAATTTATTTGATTTCAGAATAGGCTCCATCAAAAAAATGATAGTATCTTGGGGCTCTTTGGGGTGGCTTAGGTCAGGGGTGGTTTGCTGCCCGTTTTACTACCAGTTTGCAACCCGCACACAACGTGTGTGCACGCTGTTCAATGTAAATTGTTCTTCGCGCATGCGCAGAAAAATTTTCAGTGAACTGCGCATACACAGCCACTAAAATCCAAAATGGTGGTGGCCCAGCGGTGGCAAGGGAACCAGTTTGGGGGAGTGGCAGGCCTGGGTAGCTGCTGGTTCTGTGACCCCGGCCTGAATTCCTCTACTGGTTCGGCCGAACTGGGCTGAACTGGGAGCAACCCACCTTTGGCTTAGATATTTGCTTCATATTGAGGAAGCAAAACATTTACATTGGTTTATATTGCCAGAGTTATGTATTAGGCAAAGAAAATTCTATCTGGAGTTGTTGACATTCCTTTAAATAATCATTACAGTAATTAATTCAAAGTAAATATTCCAGAGCCTTCTTATATTTTCCAATAGAAAGCCTTACCTCTTAGGTTTACAGTAGACATCTTCCATAAAACAAATATTCATGAGATTAGTGGATGGCCCCAAATATAGCCACTTGCTTGTAAACCAAGAAATGAAAGACTATTTTTGCTATGTGATACCGATTTAAATCATTGCTAAGATCTTAACAGAAATACATAGCAATTTTACAATAAAACTTATAAAAGTTGGTATTCAAATATAAATGATAACATAAATGTCTAATGATATTTTTGAGAAATTATCAAAGATAATTTCAGCTTAGCCAGTAAAATTCCTGGAAGTTTATTTTCCCGTATAATTTTCTTCGATAGTCTCTTGATCTGAATAAAATAACTTTTTGGAATGAACAACAGTACATATCTTAAAATATGCATCAATTAGGTAGTAATATTCATTTTAATAACATTAAATTTAATAGATTTTAAATGTATGCATTAGCCATTGGAATCTTACTTTTAACTTTCAATATACTAATTTCCACATATTTTGAGATTTTTTAAAATTATATAAACCAAAATATTTAATACATTCTGTACAAATTACAAAGCCCAATAACTTATATTGACCTATTTATAAATTAGATTCCAATTAAAGTAAATTAGATTGTCCCGGTTAATCTGATAATAATATTGTCCAAATAGCAGCGACCTGTAAAATAATTAAATTCTGAATCTAAATAGCATGGTATATGCCAGTATAATACCAGTAATATTATAAGATTGCCTGAGAATAATTGTTAATGGCTCAAGAATTAAGTCATAAACCAATGGAGCAATTGGGCAACCATGACAGCTGCCATACTATAACTCATCTGATAACTCAACTGGCCTAAAAAAATTTAAAAAGTTATTATACTTGCTATTGGTTTCAAATAATAAATTTCAACCCATCTAATAAAAGAAGTTGGGAATCCTTACCTACACATGTCCCGCTTAAAAAAAATTAAGCTTACCTGTGTCTAAAGCTTTTTCAACATCCAAAAACATTAATACATCAGAATCCAATTTATTTTGTGGTATAACATACCTATTTATGAGTGTAAATAATTGGATACTGTCTGGTTTTGAAAAATCCAGACCGAGTTGGATGAATTATGCATGGTGACGCTCTCTGAAATCATCTAGACAAAAAGCAATAAATATTCTTGCATCTACCGTATGGATATATAAATTGTACAAAACACAAAATTCTTACCTGCTTTTAAAATCAGGGTTGTTGTAGAAGCCTCATAAAAATACAAAGACAATTTACTGGATTTAAGTAATTCGTTATAGAACTCTAACAACAATGGCTCAGCAAATCTACAAAACATTTATACCATTGGACACTGGAACTTTCACATTTTATCTCCAATATATCTTGCAGTTTCAAAGATACCTTCCAAGATATCCACAGAATCCTGTGATAATGGTTGGATAGCAATCTCTTAAAGTTATCCTATGTTTAGGTTTACCATAAATAATGTAATATAGAGACTCAGGGTTTTAGAGATTTGAAAGTTTAGATTCTATAAGGTGGGAGAACTGAAACTGACTACTTGATTTTGGAAGGAACAAGGTCTGAACCAATACAGGAAAGAGCAATTGAACATATACTCACCCGCACACTCTTTTCTCAGTGAAAAGAGTTGTTTAAAGCCTGGATAGATATAAAAGGAAGTCAGGAAATAAAGAAGACATTTATAAAAGCTGAGGGATAAATAACTGAGGTACAGGTCATTCATGATCATAAGGGTGATTATGAGATGTCTATGCTTCCAACACTCCCAAACCGCACCATTTCTAGGTACCTCTAGCCTCCTGACTCACCTTTCATGATGAAACATTTTAC